CGAGTGCTTGTTGGTCCAACGCACAACCTCGCTTGAAGGCCTCCTGCACACAGTACTGTGGCTAAACCTTGATGCTTTCGCTTAGTCACCGCCTAGAGACGCTCTTCTCAGACTGTCCCTCCATCTCGTCTTTTGCCTGACTAACTCTTTTTCTTCCTTTATGTTTCAGCTCAAATGTTGCCTCCTCAGAAAACTTTCATGGACTTCTCCATCCTTGTTGGGTGGCCCCATTCTGTGCTCCCACAACTCCCTGTATATATCCCAATCGCTGCCCTTGCTATAATGTATCATAATCTGTTCATGGTCTGTCGCCCTTAACAAGGCATCAAGTCTGTAAGGGCAAAATTTGGGGTCTTACTCATCTTTGAATTCCAGCACTGTGCCCAACACTTGAGATAAAATGGAAGCTAAATAAATGTTTTTAAAAGCAATGTATATATGATTGTCTAACTTTTGTAGATTTAACTTCCTTTTTTTTCCCCCCCTTTCCATGCTCTTCCTCCAAGCACCTCTGGGCTAGATTTTACGGCCTCAATTTCTAGGGCAAATTTCTGCAATAAGGTTACATCAGTTTCATGGGTTCCCACTCTCTGCTCTGAACCTTCTTCAAGCTATAGGTAATTGAAATTTGATTGAAACTTGTGAAAAAGCAACACTGCTTATCAGATTAGTAGTTTATTATTTTCCACACAAAAGGACATCAAAGGAGTTATTGCTTTTTTCTTCCAGGTTAAAAGAGATAATGGACCTAAAAAAGAATTTACCTATTACTATAAGTTGAGCCCCTAAGAAAAAGAAAACAGCGGTTTGATGCCCAGCCCGAGCTGAGCTGCCGCTGAGCTGTCAAAAGGTGGCAAGATGGCTCAGCTCAAAAAAAACAAAAAGAAAAGAAAGAAGAAAAGGAGAGGAGAAGGAAGAAGAGGAGAAAAAGGAAGGAGGAAGAGAAGAAGCAAAAAATGTGTCGCTAACACATGGAAAGGCAAACATTCTGGTTACAATCTAGGAACTTGGGCAGCCATGGTTAGGATATAGCCAATCCTACTTTTTCTACTTATACTTGTAATAGCTTGAGCAGCTTAAAAGTAGTAGCTTTTCCATAGCTATATTAGGCAGTTGATCTCCAGGAAATACTACTTTGAGATGAACATGAAATATGAACATCTAAAAAACCATAAAGCTCATTTATTTTATTTGTGTAATATCATTTAAAATAAATTCAGATTCATAGATTATGTGTACTCTAATGACACAGAAAGATAATTACATTTAATCTTTCAGTTACATTTCTCTCCTTTAAGTATAAGCATTTAGAAAACTTCTGACAGCTGTTATCAGGAAAAAACAAACAAACAAACAAACAAAAAAAAAACAGGCTGTGAACAACTTTTTAATTAAATAAAAACTGCTCCAAAATCATCATTCAGAAAAATCACAAGTAATAAAATTGCCCTGATACTCCTGATCCTTCAAGTGTATAATGACTAAGTGGAGCAGAGAGATTCCTAAGGGGTGGGTGGAGTTCAAGTGCGTGTGGTAGTGGCAAGAGAAAAAGGTTGAAAATCTCTACACGCAATGATCCCTAAAGCCCCTTCTATCCTGAAAAGATATTTTGATTATAAAGACTGTTTTAACCTGATCATATAGAAATCCTTTGGATAGTTTTATTCAATTTACAATATTAAAATATATGTGCTTAATTTTACAAAAATTGAGAATAGTTGAGAATCTAGCAAATATATACCAAAGGCAAATAAATACCAGAGAAAAGTTATTTATAAGGTTAAAACAACAGATGTAAGTTAACAGATATATTTAAAAATTAAAAAGAAATAGTCTTTTTTTTCAAATAAGATAGAGAGAGAAGAGCTTATGAAACTGGAGCCACAATTGCATTTCAAATAAAGCATATTTCTTTAAACATTTAAGAATTGTAAAATCAGAAATGAATAAGAAAGACAAAAGACAGTATGTTTGTGGTCATGGGTACATTTTTAAAAAGATCATGCAAAAAACCAGTGGTTGCCAATAAAAATTTTAAAAATAAGATGTACCACAATTAGTGTACATGAACAATTAGTAATTCATGCAGCTGTAGGGTACACAGAAAGCTAAACATACTTACCTAATGGTACGCTATCTAGATCTGTGTAAATAACAGCAAAAAGGAAAAAAATACTCCAATCAAAACAGATCCAATGTTAAGAATTCCCACATAAAACAAGATTATGTACCATTTATAAGATATATAGAATAGATGCCATAACAAAAACTTATAAATTTATTTTTTAAGGCAGTTAGATATGCAGAGTAAAGTAATGACCCTTGGTTAATATTATAAATAATTTAAATAACCAATTCAGAAACTTGGTTGATCTTCTTTATCTATAAAAACTAATTGCTTAATAAGGTTAAGTAAGCCTTTTAAAGTTGGTAATGATTTCTTGGAATGACAATAATTACATCTCCCAAAATTTATACATGCATATTAGAAAAGGAATAATTAATAAAAGCATAAGTAAATATAGCATCTATTCAGTCAAGCTATAGGGGAAACAGGTATAGCACAGCATATTCGAAGAGCAAAGATGTCATGCAATTCATTTAAGTAAAATGTAGGCCCAATTACCTTGTAAAGCATGGCCTAGTAAAGCATCTAGCTCAGGATTTAATTCGGCTTTCTCTTTCAACATATGGAATAAGAGCTGGTTTTGTGTAGCACTGGTAATTTCGGTTTGTTTAAGCCGACCTTCAAGTACTTTAATTTGAGCCTCTTTCTGGGCTGCCTGAAGACCCTGTAACAACACCAAAAATATAAATAAAATTATTTTAGATCATACAAAACAGAATCTACCACACAAAGATCTGCATCAAATAGCAAATGCATGTGATATATGGATTTTGACATCAGATAGACCTTGATTCATCTCAGCTCCTCCACTTTCTAGTTTGGTGACCTTGAGCAAGTTACCTTACCTTCCTGATTCTCAGTTTACTCATATGCAAAATGATATGAATAATACCTACTTCCTATCACTTGAGAAGATTAAGTAAGAGAACAATGTAAAAGGTCTAGGCACAACCCCAACGTGAGAAAAAAGTGAGTCAGAAATTATTATCACCTTCAACAATTAGGCAGAAGTTTCTTACAGGTGATAGGTTACTGCATTTACATTCAAAAAGGGAGGGAGTGCAACTATATTTTTTCCTTTCTGATTTTTTTTTTTTGGAGCTGTAAAGAATCAGTATCGCATCAAAGTTATGATACCAAATTTGTTTGCAACCCAAGAGACTTTTCTTTTAATTTTTCCTTTGTTAAAGTAAAAGAGGAATTATTTCTTCCTTCAGTGGTTTATCTGTTCTAATATATAAGCACAATAGATGGCAAGCTAGTGGAATTGATCTAAATATTGCTGACTTTTCTTAACTCTAAAGAAAGGTAAAAGGAACACTTTCTAATTAAAAAAAGAATCTTCTCCCTCATTACAAAGGAAAGGGTCGCTGGAGAAAGATAAACAAAACTACAATGAGTTAATCAAAACTCAGGTTTCCAATCATAGTGTAGTTACATCTTACCTTATTAATGCCCATTGACAGGAAGTGATCAAGTAGATATCGGGCTTCAGTAAGTGTGCAAGCATTAATGACTGCAGTGACATCCAGTGTTTCTCCTTCTTCCTGCATCAAACCAGCATAAGATGTCATATTACTTTGAGCTAACTATATCTGAACACAAGGCAAAAGCCTATGGTTTCATGTATTTATGTGATAGTATTGGGTTAGCTAACGAGACTCCTCTGAATCGTATAAAATATGATCCCTACCCCAAGAAACATATGGTGCAGTTGAAAAGGTAAGACACATTTGAGCAGTTAAGAATTCCATGTGGATTAATACATGATATATGTCTCTTACAAATCATAAAAAATATAACAAATCAGCAGAAAAATCTGGAGAGCAGGCAGGGAGTGGTATACATGCAAAACCTAAGAATCATATTAGACCAATAAACAGGAAATCCCATCACATAAAAATTCAAAGTGCTTTTAATAATAATAAAAAATACTCTTCGTTAAGCCATTAAACATTGTTTAATTACAAACCTTTGCTTCTTCCATCTGCATGATGTTGGCTTGACAATCAGAAATACTGTCATTGATATAATCTATATTAGCAGTTAATGACTCCATCTCCTCATTGATGTTAAGCACATTTTTATCTCCTTCTCCATTCTCCTTGATGATCTTTTCCCTTCTTTTTGAAAGTTTTTCTCGTCTTTTTGTGAGTTCTTCCCGTTGCTATGGAGAAAATAGGTTGGATTTTAAGAAATGATGTTCGTCTACGGCATTGAGAACATGATGCTAAGTGAAATAAGTGAGTCACAGAAGGACAGATACTGAAGGATTCCACTTATATGAGGTATCTAAAAAGTCAAACTCATCGAAGCAGTAAGTACAGTGGTGGTTGCCAGGGGCTGGGGACAGGGGGAAAAAGGGTAGCTACCGTTCAACAGGTATAAAGTTTCAGTTACATGAGATGAGTAAGTTCCAGAGACCTGCTGTACAATATTGTGCTTATAGTTAACAATACTGTGCTGTACACTTAAAAATGTGTTGAGTGTAGATCTCATGTTATCTGTTCTTACCCCAACTTTAAAAATATGATGTTCATCTATTCCTATATAATACAATCAAAACTCACCAGAAAGAAACTTGGTTAGTATTAAATTTGCCCAGGGAACAAGTTTGGAAAATCAGAATAGTCAGCTAAGGAAGAACATTTCTACTTTCTATCTCCCACACCTTGAGTAGCCTGTTCATATCGGCCTCCATATTGGAAATGGTCATTTTCTGCATGATGATGTCTGTGACTCTGCGCTCAAGAAGCTGCCATTTCATGCGAGCGGTCTTGGAAATAAACACTCGGCCAGTCAGTCCTTTCCGCTGATATTTTTTTCTATAATCATATAAAGCAGACAAATATAATTACTTATGCACTTATTTGATTATACATTAGCAAACAATATGCTGTTTTTCATTTAAGTCCAACACTCAGTAATAACCCCACGAAGATTATGTCAGGAGGAATATAAGAATCGTGTTGACCTGGTTCCATTTGTTGTGGACGTTGGTAAGGCCTGGACTCTTGCCACAGGAATTCTCATTTTCTGCTGGGCTGCTGCCCTTGACGCATCTGTTTCTATGGCAGCTGCGCTGGAACCTGTGTCCTGCACAGGGGTATCGGATGAGCTCAGCTTCCGAGTGACTTTCCCAGACACTTTATCTGACATGGGCCTTACTTGCCGACGAAGAGCTGTAACCTGAAACAGGAACAGAGATTGACTCTTTCTCTTAGTCTATAGAAATACATCATTTATCTCAAATCCAGAATGTTTCCTCCAAGTGGGCAACTTGCCTCTTCAGTTTTGCGACGAAGAACCACTTCTTGGTTTCTTTTTTGGGCTTCCAGAAGTCTAAGTTGATGCTATAACACAATATTGAATAAGTTAAAATAGTAAACTGAAAGATACAATACCACTGACTCTTACAGTAACATATTTTCCCATTCCCACTGGGAACTATAAGAGATCTTAGCAAAATCTAACGACAACCTTGTATTTATTACTACAGATATAGATATATTATTCCAAAAACATAAATGCATATTGACATAGCCAATTCTGTCTCTGAAAATAAAAGTTATGTCTGTGACACATACTTTTATTTAACAAACACTAAGAGCTCTTACCACACAAGTACTTTTCTAAATGCCTTACAAATATTATCTCATTTCTTTTTTTGTTAAACATTTTGTTTTGCTGGCTGAGGCACAATCAGGAAGAAATACAGCTTAAAATCTCTTCAATAAAGGCATTTTACAATATATACAGTAACTTTAAACTATTTTAAATATAGGAAAAACATATATTAATTGTATTAGCACTTTATAATAACTCTAGAAATGTTCTAACGTTAGATAAAGTAATGGACAATAAAACATATCAGTATTGGCTACCAAATTTATTTCTAGGTACTCTATGTGATAAAGACAATGAATTATGGATTACTTTAAGCCATTTTAGGGCTCTGATTTAGAAAAACAGTTTGGACTGAAAATATAGATCCTAATTCTGGTTCTGCCATTATTGAACTCTTTGTTTGGGCAAAGCTTAGATATTGGACTTGATCACAAAATCTTTCTTCTAGGACTTAAATTCTGTGACATAACAACTAATCCCTCATGTTTTGCATTCCAAATTCAAACAGATCATTCGTTTCATGTTTATGCATGTTCCTACATCATCAGATGAGAATTCTTAGAGAAAAGGATTCTATCTTATCACTGTCAGATCTTCATTGCCTACAACGATTAACAGAGATGCAAAGTTAATAAGTATTTTTAAGTAAACTACCAAAAATGAAAATTAACATATAGTTTGAAACTTGTTACTACATCATATTTCTTCCTATTACAAGTCAAATCTCAAGCTCATTCATATTTTTTGAATGGTATACAAACATACTAGGTTCTCTAAGGGTTCAAACAGAAACATGACAAGGAACAATTTAGAAAGGGGGTCAGTATGCACACAAAGCAACAAATAAAAGGGAGAAGAAGTCCGAGTGTTAGCTTTGTATGTGATTAGCCAGCCTCACATCTTTATAATAAAATATTATATCATATATGATCAGGTGTTGCAGATAAAATTCCAAAGTTTCATCCCAAGGGTTAATTGTTCAATAGTGATCTCTCTAACTCATATGAATTAGTAATAAAGAAATAAGTAGCATGCATTGTAAGGTAATTGTTCCTGTCATCCAAAGGTTTTATTAAAAACAAAATAAAGAGCCAAAAAGTGGAAATAGCCCAAATGTCTGTCAATTGAGGAACGAATAAACAAAATGTGCTCTATCTATACAGCCATAAAAAGTAATGAACTACTAATACATGCTGTAACATGGATGAACCTTGAAAACATCATGCTAAATGAAAGAAGCCAGTCACCAAAAAAAAATTTACATATTGTATGAATCCATTTATATGAAATGTCCAGAATAGACAAATCCATAGAGAATGAAAGTAGATTAGTGGCTGCCAGGGGTCAGAGAGAAGGAACAATGGGAGTGACTGTTAAGCTGTATAGGGTTTCTTTTTGGAGCGATACAAATGTTCTGGAATTAAATAGCAATTGTTGCACAATTTTGTGACTATAATAAAAACTTGAATTGTACAGTTTCAAAGTGAATTTTACGGTATGTTAGTTATATCTCAATTTTTTGTAAAATAGCAGATAGAAAAAAAAAGAATAGGCAGTATGTTAGAATATGCTTCTACTTGATTTCAGTAAAAACATAATGATTTAAACAAGCTCTAAAATGCCTAGGAATTGAAAGTGGCTTTTAAAATACACTGATTATTAAAATACACTGATATGCTGGGAAAAAATAAATAAATATGGGAGTCATCTGGCTAAAATATCTATATGTCTTCCTCATTACTCTCTCCTCATTTTCTCCTTCAATTTCCTCTTTACCTCTCAAGGTAAATTTCTTTTTTCTCAAATATGCTGTACGCTCATATTTTCTCCAGGGAGGATTTAGACAAAGCTGAGCAAGAAAAAAGGAACAAAGGCTGAAACCTAACCAACAATGGAGAAAAAAAGGTGATGACCTCTTCTTCTTCTTTTTTTTTTTTCAATTACAGTTAACATTCAATATTATATTAGTTTCAGGTGTACAACAGTCGTTAGACATTTATGTAACCTATGCCCTATGCAGTGATCCCCCTAATAAGGATGACCTCTTCTTTTAAGGAAAAAAAATCATAAATAACCATATTACCAAAAATTTGGGAAGAAGAAAAAAACAAATCACTGTAAGTTATAGCCCTAAGACAACTACAGTAAACATGTTGGGATATATCCTTCAAAATTGTACCTCATTTTAATCAAGCATGCATATACGAAATACTACTTTACCCTTAATGTTAAGTCATAGTCATTTTTCAGTTTACTATGCAATTTCCAAACCCTACTTTTTAATGGATAAATAACAACCTCTTAAATAAGATGGATAATAACTTATTAACGATTTCCCTTACTGTCATCTTGGTTGTTTTTACCTCTTTCACTATTAAAAATAATCCTAAAGTGAAGATTTTAACACACAGCAATTTTTCTTATTTTGTATTATTTTCTTAGTCTGAGCTCATGTAAGTAGAGTTCTTGAGTCAAAGAATACAAAAATTTTTATTGCTCTTAGCAAAGCCTCTTTCAGTGAAGCCTGGTTAGTATGCCAGCAACATTTCTAAGAATCTCTAGTGATGAAACTGTCTTTGGAACTATCCTAAAATGACTACCTTATACAATACTGCAAGTAGTCCCTTGATCTCCTTAGAGATAGCCAGTAATTCTTTGACATTTTCATTTTCTTTCATCTCATCATCTAGGAAATAAGCCTTCAATAAAATTTATAATATCATAGTGTTTTTCATAAACTTTTATATTTAATTAATGTAAACACCATATTATAAGGTTAATGCTTATTTATTGTCTTGAGCCTGTCTTTAATAGTTATAGGTATCAGAAAATTTTCTTCCATTTGTTAAACAATCTGGTTCAATGTATAATATTCCTATATAACTGAGAGTTAAAGTCTACTCACATCTCTTTTACGTTGATCTTTTTTCAATTGTGCAATCTCTCTGTTTCTTCTAGATTCTGTCAATCTGGCTTTTTCTTGTTCTTCTTTCATTTGTTTCATTAGGCGAACCTAAAAAATTAGGTAAATACATCTATTGGAATTACACTATCACAACATTCATTAAATAAACCACATGTATGGAATAAGTTCTTAGAAGTCTGAATACTTAACATGGAAATGTGGAATTTTGCTGCACATTTTCAATGGTCAATTCTTATTTTTATTGGATTAATGCATTTATATTTTTAATACATTTCTAATATGTTTCTATCAAATTGCTTAGTGCCCTATGCTTTTTATAGTCAGTGTTCAATTGTTCTATAACTTGAATGAATTCTTGGTACTTAGTTTATTACCAGTAGTTTTATCACCTTGAAGGAGTTATTAAATCTGTCTAGGCTCATATGTAAAATGGAGATAATAGTGCTATGGCATTGGACTATTATGAGAATTCAATGAATGAATTCCTGTGCAGTGCCTACAACAGTACCTGGCATACAGTGAGCACCTAATAATTTCAGCTACTGTCATCAGCAAATACATAACATAACAATGTAACAACTTTCTAAATCATTTCCACATTTGCTATTTTAAAGAAACAATTGATTTTCATGCCAAATGTTAAGAATAATTGATTCCACAACAAAAACAGATAAAAAGATCAGGATTCACACACTCTTTTTGGTCAAGAGAAGAAAATTGGGTCTGTTGTAGCATGGGAATGGTAAACACCAAATCCAAGGTAGCTGTTGCCTCTCAGGGAGGGGAGAATATGATCAGGAAGGGATACATGGGGGCTTCGTGTAGATCTGTAATGTTTAATATCTTAAACTGGATCGTGGATATAGTGTTCATTATGTAATTATCTATGCTTTTTTTGCATGTTTGAAATACTCTGTACTTTTTTTTGTTAACCTTGTGTAAGAGTTTTAAGAGGAGAAATACCCATCAAAGTCCAAGAAGCCCTGGTGGCCACATGATTTTCAGCTCACCTCAAGAAAAGCTTTGATAATGAATGACTAAAGGAAACAACTCCTAATTGCCCAAAGGAAGTGCATCATTTGTAAGACTGGGTTACCTCTTAATTGAATATGGAAAGAACCTCAATAAATTTTTTTTTTGTCCCAAATGACACAGCATCTTTAACATAAGACTTTACTGGAAAATGAAATCAATACCTTTGTTTTTTTCATTTCCATCACATCCTGCTGCAATTTCTTCAATTGCTTTTCATATTGAGACTGATTTTTAAGCAACCTCGCATGCTCTTTTTGAGCTGTCTGAAGTCTCTGCAGTTCTTTATTCATGGCTTGGAGTTTCTTTTCATATTCAGACTTAACTTTTTTTGCCTTTTCTTCTGAGTAAGATTCCACTGAACCTAAAGATCAAAGGATATTTGTATTTGTTTCTGTGAGACACAGATTTTTATTTCACAGATTTACAACTCATATTCTTAGAAAAGAACTACCTCCCAAACACAAACCTCAGCAGTCAGCGTGTCTTTGAACCACTGTCTCTTTAATTATCTACTCTTAACTTGTTTAAACAATTATTGAAGGGTTGTTGCTTTTTTTACATGTTTCCAGCATAAATCAAGACATGAAAACAACTGACCACAACTTTGTACAAAATAATTAGCTAGACAGGTACAAACAACCTAGATAGGCACCAGAATGAAAGAACAAGATAATATTTAACACAATGAGACAAATTCACATCTAACGTGGCTTCTAATATATCTTTTTTTCTTCTAAAGAAAGAGATGATAAAAATCCATTTTGACAATTTATTTTGAATTTGAATTTGAATTAAATATAATTCTTACCTAAGTTTTGAAGCACCTGGTCTCTTTCAAGCTGAGTGTCCCGAATTTTATGTTGCAGCATCATTAGCTTCTCTTCATATTGCTTTTTCAGCGTCTGCAGTCTTTTCTGGCTGTTTTCTAGTTCATCAATCAGCTTTTGCTTGATTGCAATTTCACAGGTAATGTTTGCTAAGTCTGCTTGATAATTGGCTATTTATAAAAGAAGAAAATAAAAATACTAGCAGAGGTCAAAATATTGTATTTCTAGCTTTCAAGCAAAAGCGTGAAAACCATCACCTACATCCAGGTATTCACTTAGCAGCTCTAAAAACAATGTTCTGGATAAACCAAAAACTAAGAAAGGTGAACAAGATAAAGAGTGTTCATGTTGATCAGGGACAGCAGACACCACTTGTACTGAATAAGCATGGAAATCACACAATGACTAAATCCAATAAGGGAAGAAATCGAGCCTAGAAGGGCATACATAGGTCAGCAGTTATAAAAATGTGGAGAGTTTTCTGTCGTGTTTTAAACAAACTCCCAAAATGAATTTTTGTCCTTGTACTAAAAGGCAAATACCTTTTTCATCTGATTCAGAATCTGATTCATCAGAGCTTTCACCCCCTTCAATGTCATCTTCTTCTTCCTCCTCCTCCTCTTCCTCATCCTCATGGTCACTTACTTCTTGGCCTTCTTCCTAAAATGTGGTTTGTGACCATTAATAACACAGTACAGGCAGGGCAAACTGATTACATCATTCAGAGAGACTGCTGGAGTTCAAAGTACAGAAACAAAAATTTCACTTTTCAGCAGTTCAAAAAAATCATTCCACGATTTTAATGTTATTACATGATAATTTTGTCTTAAATCAAAGAGTACTTCATCTGTCAGAATATTCTATCCACCCATACACAATGTTTTTACAATGCACAAGAGTGAGAGTTGCCAATATTTTATAGCTCACATTTCTGAAGAAAAGAGGTCCTCACGAAAACAGTTTAAAATGGATGCATGATAAACATTTCCCTCTTTTACATATAAGTTGTTACATTTATCAGCAACCAAGAACAACCTAATCCAGGGAATAAAATTAACAAGTTCATTCTTTCATACTTACCACTTCTAATTCATTGTTTTCTCTTTCTGAAATACTCTTTTCTTCTTTCTTCTCTTGGTCGGTGTCTGTATTATCCTCTTTACCAGTCACACTTAAAAGAAAAGGAACAAAGGGGTATGATATTAAAGTAGAGATGAAAATGGTACACTTCTTTCTTCTACATTTTTTAAACTATCAATTACTTGGGAAAACAAACAAAAGAGTTGATCATTGGAAAGTGATCATGTCTGATGCTTCAGAGGAAAATAGAAATTGCCATCTAACGAATAGTAGAGTGATTAATATTAGTGGAGAAAAAGTTATTTTCCAGAAACACTGAGGAACAGATTACACCCTGGAGCATGAGACCTGATGAGATAGCTAAGAACTAGTCCCAGTAACAGCCAATAAACTAGAATAGAGGCAATTTAAATTCAAAGGAAATCAAAGCAAATACTTTTATTTATCATCTAAGTATACAGAACGTTTAGCCTCTAAACACAAAGATATAAGAACTGTATTTTTATTGATGTCCTAATACATTTAAAAATAAATCTGAAGATCCAAAACAAATCTGCCCCTGGTAAGTTTGTCTACACTGGTTGCATCCATCAGTGTGTTCAGGTCTTCTCCGGGGGTAACACAGGCTCTTTTTTCCTACACCTAGACCATACCTACAGCACAGGGCTGTTTCTCAAAACGTTCTCACAGAAATGGGTCTTTGAACATCAAAATGCAGCCTCCTGACCTGTGTTTGAATAGGAATTCCAGGGTCTGCCACAAGATTCTCCATACAAATCGAAGCCTCCTCTTTGGTGATCTAGTACTAACAGCCCTGACTACACACTGAGGCACATTGATATCTAAAATCACACTGATGCCAGTTAATGGTTATAGCTCAACCAATTTAAACCTGGTGGCCCTGAGAAGACAGAAGACTCTATAGTGAGCCAAATTTTGTTCACACTTAAATCACTTTGACCCTTTTTAGGGGTTTAGCAACCGTAGTCAATTATGCACAGAAGTTATACTTCTGTTCACTAGACTCATACATTTAATCAGGTTAAGTAATATTAGAAAGTGAACTTGAAATGAATCTACATGGAAAAGGTTTCTTCTTGTCCTATAGCAACATTTTTAAAAAAGCTATTAATAAAAAGAATACTCAAATAAGGCATTATTCTCCAACTATAATTTCCGCTTGAATAAGCTTAAAAACTTTATCACAATAACTTTATAACATCTGCCATTTCTTTCAGATATTCTGCTACATCAAATATTGCTCTAATAGACAGGTTTATTTTTAGCTTCTAGACTAAAAAGTTAATCTTATTTAGGCTCTATTATTGTTGTTAAACTCTAATGTTGAACTCTTAACTTCCAATTCTCACAGATACTTTTGTACTCAAAACAAGATGGATTATAAGTACTTCTCCTTTATGAGCACTTTCCAGAGTTTATTTATGGATTATTTCTTTAATTCCTGTCTTCCCCACTAGACTGTAAGCCTCCTGAGGGTGGGGATCTTGTCCATTGGGCTCAGCATTATATCCCCAGCACTCAGGGGATGTGCATAATAAATGTGCAGTGAGTGTTCTTTATATCAATCCCTGGGACTGTGCATGAGCACCTCTGTTTGGCACCTGTGCCTATGTGCCTCACTCACTATGTTGGAGCTTAATGGCACGGGTTGAAAGATGCATAATGATGCATGGAAGACCGCATATCTCTAGAACGAGAAGCAACTACCAGTAGGAATATCAAATAAATTTGATTAAAAAAAAGAGTTCCATGAGCGTTGTTAAGTCATTTTGTGAGGGAAAAATACTGAATATACTTAATGCCTCTCTTACATAGCTTGTACTAAATAGTAGAACTGCTGATTTTCTACCATCACATTCAGCAGTGCAAGCTGAAAATCTGGAGAGCCACTCCCCTTCATCCAATTATCCGACTGAAAGGCCAGTACCATATACTCAAACAGCGCTGGACTTGAGATTTAGGACTAAGGTTAAGGGTTAGGAAAGGAGAATGTGTTAGGAACGATATCTCCCATCAGCATTCCCCATCCCCTCCCCTATGCAGTCTCCCTTTCTCACCTGCAACTGGTGCAGCATGCAATCTTTGTTATTGTCGATTCCTTCATTTCGTCAAGTTCCAACCCAACTTCCCTGTTACCCAGGTTTATGGCCATATGATCACTTTAGTCCAAACACTGGACCCAACACACTCTCCTACTCCCTCAGTATCCAGCTTAACAAATGTTACTTTTGACTTAATATAAAGTTAACTCATATATTATAAGCTGTTAAGGCCAATTCTGATGCAGAAAAATCAGCAGTTGCAACCTTCCATTATTAATTTACCTTTATAAATCACTTAAGTCTTAAGCTTTTAAAATACATGTTGATGCTTTATCATGGTACCTCAACTAATCAAGTTTTCCTCAATTAACTGAGGCACGTTGATCCCTAAAATAACTATCTAAGCAGCAGGGAAAGACATTGAACTTTGCACTTTACATTGGATCAGAATCTTGGAGCTGGTACACTAGTGATCATGTGGTTTAACCCCTTTAAGAGTTGACAACCAATGTCAACATTTTTGTTGACAACCAAAAAAGAAACTGGCCTGGGGCAATTAATCCACTCCAGGGAACTAAACCAGGTGTCATGGCTCCTAGGCCAGTATTCTAGAGTCATGCGGCTCAGTCCAGGCAGGAAAGCATCAGCACCATCCAGGAGCCTTATAGATGTGCAGAATCTCAGGCTCCACCTCAGTCCTGCTGAATTAGAATCTTCATTTTATCAGACTCCCCAGATGACTTATATGCATATTCATGTTCCGGAAGCCCTGTCCTAGACCAACAAACTGTTCTATTTTTGCTATCCTCTAAGGATGACACAAAAGCTGGGAGCAAACTAAGTACATTTAAAGGACCTGACTATTTTAAGGTGGGAAAATGCTTCCACACACTACTTTAACCATGTATCTTATTTTTGACCCTTCAAAATAGAAGAAAATTCACAATTTTTTAAGCCTTTAATTTAATTCCAATGATAAACATGTCTTAAGTGTACACTAATTAGGTACGTTCTAGTTTTGACTTATTGACAATTAGAATTACATTCTAATTATAGAATACTTTAAATAAGTCATAGAATTATAGAATAGAATTATAGAAACTCTAGAATACTATAAATATATGTAGGATATAATTGTGGGATGTAAATTTCTAAATAATTTCAAGAAATTATAATTTTTAAGCTTTCATATTTAAAGTAAGATTTATTTAGCTAATTGCTGCATAGTAAACATTCACAAAAGGCTTATTTTAAGTAAGAGGTGACATTTCTAATGTGGTGCTTCCAAAATACCTAAATGTTATTAAAACCAGCCTATTTTCTTAATCATTTTAATTATATAAACTGGAGGTTTATTTAGAAAAGTTTATGAAGAGAAGTTCTGATAAGAAGTGAAATATTATTTAATCCTGGTTTAAATAACTGTAACTCTAAATGAGTAAAATGGCAAATGTTTATTATATAGAGAAATATGCTTCTAGATTTTGCTCAGATTTCAAATGGAAAAAAAAAAAGATATCTTGTTTTTGATGCTCACTTCAAATACATTTTGAAAGCAATACTTGTTTTCTAAATTAAACCTTCAGAACTCTTTGTAAATCTTATCTGTAGTAGGGCCACAGTTTCCTTTTGCTTTGTTGCCATTTTAATGTTGTTTTTCAACAAAGATAACACCAAATAAGGAAGAAAGGAGAAAGAGCCCACCTGTGACAGCATGGACTGCAACAAAATGTCAATTCCCACTCAACTAATAATTCCCAATCTGCTCACAAGTTTCTGAAAAATACATTCTGAAAGTCAAATGATGGGTTTTTTGGGTCATTTTTAATAAAAATGGTAAGTCGCCTTCATAATTATGATAGTTTATTCTGAAATCACATGAAATTGCCTGAATTTTAATTCATGTAACTCGTGAGGGTTTTATTCTTTAAAAAGTATTTTCAAAAATATTTTGGTGTTTTTGTTAATTTTACAAAATCATCATTACTTTTGGGAGCACCAAGCTAGTCTAGTCTGAAACAACCCATATAATTCTATAACACATTTCCTTTTGAATGGCAACTAAGTATTTAAATGACATTTTAATAAAAAACCTGGGAAGTATTCCAACCTTCTTTCTTCTCGATTGCTTTCCTCAAGTTTCTGTAGCCTTCAAAATCACGAGGCACAGTATTGGATGGCCAAGCCAATGAAGGACAAACCAGACAGTAAAAAGCGAGAGTGGTAAGAAGGTAAAAATGATACATGAGCTTGAAGACTTTAAAATAAATTTTAAAAGATATCATCAAAGGACAATACACAGTAAAAAGGCAATACATTTTGTATGAATAAAAAGTAAGTAGAAAAACAAGCAGCATCACATCTAAGAAGAATATATATAGACTATCAATGAAATTATTTAGCAATAAAATATAAAGTCTCAATTTATGTAAGTAGTAGGAGTGTTTGAATGCCATTGAATTTTAAAATCTGAAATGGATCAATTTTCTCAGCTTTCCCCAAAGGCCTACTTGTAATGATATCCTCTGCCTTTTAAACCTTTACAGAAGATCTTTTTATGGCATCATTAAAAGAACTTCAAAAAGTAATGCCTTTGTACCATAATATGAAAATACCATTAATACTACATACTAAGATACTACTTCTAAAACTGGTTTTCTATTGTAATATACTACATGTGAACATCACTAAATCTAAAAAAAAAAAAAAATTCTATTTCAAAATTATACATGAAATGGTGTTACAGTCATATGAATATGGTTGTTATATCAGTGAAAAACTGTAATTTTATTAATTGAAAATTAAAATCTCATAATATCACTGTGCTAATTATTAAAAACAAGCTACCAAAAGGACATATAAGACAAAGGTGGCAATAAAATGGGAAATGTAGTACGTTCCATTAGTAAGATTATTTTCCAATCAGATAAGTATTGAAAAACTATAGATATATACTTAAAGGCTTTGAAATAGTACTTAAACAATTCTGAGTGGGCAGAACCGGGCATCTTTACTCAATGGAATGTACTGATACCAATATTTGTCATGTAGACAAAAAGATAGATGTGCTAGGCTCTGAATAAGGATACAGAAATCTTGATACAGCCCACTTCTGCCCAGAATTTCAAAAATATTTTTCAGAATCATCAGTCTTTAAAAATGAGATTGAGGCTTAGGTATGAATTATTTTATAAAGCCAGTTCTCATTTTAATTTTGTAATGTGTGCTCACATGTGATTTTTATTTGTTGGCTTGTGATTGTATTTCATAATCAACTTTACTTGTACTGCTATTACAAGAAGAGACTAGCAATCTTTCTGAGAAAAAAAAAGTCTACAGAGTGATATTCACCGGGGACCAAAAGTTCCTGTGTAACAGCTAGGAGAAGGAAAGTAAAGCCATTGCCTAAGAAATCTGTGTGTTTCTAGGTTTCAACCTGACACCACTAAATAAAAATATAATGCAGTCTGATGAATGAGGGAAGTTTTTTATAGTGCAAGTCATTTAAAGCTAGATATCCAAAAATATGGGGATTAATGTGTGAATGGTATGTTTTCTTTATCCAGGTATACACACAAAAAAATGCAAAAATACATTATTTCTAACCTAGGCTTATAATGATGCTAATGAGCTGCAATGGCTCAGAAGATATGGTTCATTGGCAAAGAGTCCAAATTTTCTGTTTTCAGTAAGAAGAATTTTTGTTTACCTTCCACAAAAGAGATATATTAAAATGTATAGATGATATGAGCTAAGAAGTAGAGATATACTTTAGATGTCTTCCCAATTACCTTAAAAAACATTGCAATCAATAGTTTAATAAGACAATGGAGGGGCAGAGAAATAAACTAATAACCTGACGCTTCTCCATAATTTAAAGGAGTTTGCTTTTTCTTTCACCTAGCTCTATTACAATGCTTCTTCTGTGGGAGAGGCGGTAAGGGGTGGCGAGGCAGGGAGGCAGGCTCCTATCTTGCTAATCATTTTAACATTTATGTAACTGAAAAATAGGCAATATAGTCTATTCAATTATTCTCCCTTATTTTCTTATCCTTCCATAGTTTCTTAATATCTACACCTACAAATTAGTTTACAGATCAACAGGAAGGTAGAAGAGCCGACCTTAAAACCCCACCTATTAGCTATTGGTTGTAGCTTTGGTAAAGATGTTAATTCAGAAGAGAATGAAACTTGCATGAAAAACAGGACTTATGACATCCTCCTTGAACACAAATGCCACTCGGACATAAAAATGACCCAGTTGCTGCTCTTCCTACCAACACTTACAATGTCAGAGGCCCTGTAGCCACTAAAACAAAAAACTAACAACACAAAAAGGAAAAGACACGGAGCTTCTTAAAGAATTCGTGGAGTCAGCAGGGAGGAGAGAAAGCAGCTATAAGAACCAGGAAAGCTTAGGAAAGCTGACCAAAAGGTCAAACACCAGACAGGTTTTAGAAACTCTCAGCCGGAAGGGAGCAAAAAAAAAAATCTTGATTTTTTTTTTTTTTCCCCTTCATGAGGTTGCTGCTCAAAATTTTCGTATTTGGATTACTGCTTCCTCTTTCCAAATTACAAACATCCCTAGAAGAGAACCTTATTGGTCATAAGTTATTTCCACTGGCAATGAATTCCTTTAGTCAGATGGCTTTGCTCCCAAGTTTGAATTTCAAGAGATGAGAGAAGACAATAGGCGATTTTCAAATTGGGAGTGATTTGGAGAAGGGTAGAATTACATGAGAACTGACTGCATAAGGAGGAATGGGTCAAAGCAGCATGGGGACACAGAAAGTTAGAAGATGAAAATAAGAAAGAATGACAGGCAGAAATTCACATTTTTTCCCCCAAAGGTTGGCTACACCCATGAAAGAAAAAGTTTATTTCCCCCTTTTTGCCTATTCCTACTCCCTTCTGAATTGCTTTTAGCAAACTATAAAATGGGTAAAAATTATGTTATGTGAGTGAGTTGGGAAACCTGAATACTATGGATTCATAACAATTTCTAGAGAAAAATTAGTCCAATTTCCAAACAATCTTTGATTGAATTTACTGTCTTTTTGAGGTTGAGGCAACACCCACATTTTGCAGTGCCCTCTCTGATAAGTAAAGTAAGTAAATATGAGGCATGTAATACAACTCAGCTAGAATCAATACATCCAAACAGGAACGATAGCCTCCAAAAAATTCCTGTGGGAGATGCATCACCTGCTTCAGTAAAGCTGCAGTCATTCTAAACACTTCTTGTCTATTATTTATTTTAACCTGTAACAAAGCCTTTGGCTAAAATGAGAGCTTACCTACATTTTTAAAATAGGAATTTACATTACATACAGCTAAATGTTATTGGGATCTACAGTGAAAAGTTGCTGATGATGAATGAAATGCTTTATAAACTGAGTAAAATACTATTGGCTTTCATTTTTTAATCCACAACAAAGTTTGAATCGTGTGGTAAGAAAAATTGTATTAAATTTTACAAATTTATACATGTAGTAATATAAATTCATAAACAGATTCTAAAGGCTGTTCCGATTATACAGTTTATGTTACACAAGAAAACTTTTCTAGGTTCACACTACATTATATACATTTCAGTTTTACAAAGACACACTATAGTATGTGTGTGGAAAATGCCTTATAAAGCATTTTTTTAAAGCACAATATAGGAGTTACTGATTTTTAGAAAATATTAATTTGGTTTTCTCATTCTACGCTATCTTCCACTTTTTTTTTATAGATTATTAAGGTAATAGCTCTCCTTTTACCTTACCTGGCTTGTCTTTTCCTGAGAAATTTTTAAAATTTCATATCACTTTTTGTTAGGAAATAACTTATTTTTTTCACTAGGATTTTTTATGTTTAAATCCAGCTGTTTGGTGAGTTCTTCTTAGTAGTAAATCTGCTATTATTCTTATTTTAATAATTACTATATCTACCAGAATCACTGAAGTAGTCATAATTTTTCACTTTGAAATTAACTACAGTCTCAATTTTTTATTACCTTAAAATGGTTACAATTTCTATAATAAAGCAACAAAAACTAATCTTAATCATAAAATGTTTTTTTCCCTTTAATTCTAGCTATCAGTGAAAATGTTTACAATCCTACATTTTCACAAAAATAACATGCATTAGAGGTATTAATTTGGGGTACGTTTGATCACTATAAGAATGTCAAAAACAGTCTAGGTTTCTATTGGGATTCCCTATCTTTTTTCACGATTCATATCCAACAGAAAGAGCAGAACCAGCTCATAATGTTGAGAAATGTACCCTATAATAACTGTCATAGTTATTATTCATGAACACAAACCACCTATATACCTATAAAGCTAAGTCATAACATTTGACATTTTGACCAACTAAAGAATTATATTTTACAAGTAAATGATAAGTCATGTGCAAAAGTCTCATTTTCATTCAAGCAGTATGCTAGGTCTCACTAGTTTCGACAACCCTATGGTCATTATTTCAGTATTAATTGCCCTGACCAGAGATGTGTAATTCCTTGCTTTAACTATTTTTTATCATTCCTTTTTAACTCAAGGACACAGAGCAGAATTAATACATAGAATTTTACTTCCAGTAACTGTGGCCAACTGATTTTTCTAGGAAGCAATGCATGGTTACCTAAATAAATTTCTAAATAAACTAAGCAAAGCAGTATGGAGACTAAATGTCGATAATAATTCTACAAAGTGCACCCCCTGTAACAACCCTTTTGACAAATAAGATAGCTTTGCCTCCTTTTGAATATCTAGCCAAAAATGCTTAAAATTAATTTGACTGGCATGGTCAAAATATATTATCCTTAGTGATTTGACTGCATCACAGAATCAATATGTAAACATTAAGAAATTGAGTGTTTAACCACTCACACATTGCAAGTGGTCAAATTTTTATTTTCCTCCTCTTCTTTGCACTCTGTTGATTTTAGAAGGAGATATTACTAGGATGCAAGGAGTGAAAGCCTAGAACAGTGGTGAAAAACTAACCCCTTGTTAGAAGATTCAGAAAGCCTGAAATAATAAATAACTTTCACATAATCAAATTAGAAGCCCTGCAGAAAATACTTCAGAGACCAAATGATATTAAATGACAGTCTGATGGATTAGTTTAGCCTTTAGTTAAACTAATCTAAACAGGAATTAGAATATATCCATGTGACTATTTAATCGCATTAGAAAATGGGAAAAAAATGAAAACATTGAACTGTGATGGTACAGCAAGCTTTGCAGAAAAGAAAGGTGAATGCAATGCAAAAGCAGCTATTTGTAGAAATAATAAAATAGTTTCTAATAGTAATTTTACCTAAATAAAATTCATTATCACAGTATTATGATTAAACTTATTATTTTACATACAAGTAGAAATAAACTATTAAAAGCACAACTGTAATTGTCAGCTAATTTAAATGGCATTTCATTTATTAATATACTTATGACACTAGGTATACTCATTGTAATCACAAATTAAAATATCCTAAAAAGTAAGAAGAATAGGGATTCATATAGCAGTGATTTTATAACACTACCTTTTTTTCTTCTTCTTTTCTTTCCTTTTCAGCTTCTCTAAATCTTTCTTAGCTAGATCTATAATTTCAATGGTCTCTTTGTCTGAGGACAGTATAGGAGAGAAAGATGATGGCCCACTGAAATACGGTGATCTGGTGGTGGCTCTTGTCAAGTTTTTTCGAAGGTTCTCATTCACGGCTTCACTTTCTAATAATTTTGCCCTAATGAATAAAAATATAAATAGGAAACATTATGTTTTTATTGTGGCAAAAAAATACATTAACATAAAATTTACCACCTTAGCCATTTCGAAGTGTACAGTTCTGCAGCATACAGTACATTGAAATTATCATTACAATCACTGTCTTCATCTATCTCCAGGACTTTTTCATCTTCTCCAACTGAAACTCTGTGCGCATTGAACACTAACTCTTCATCATACTCTCCTCCCTGCCGCTAGCCGCCACCATTCTACTTTTTGTCTACAGAATTGACTACTCCAGGAATACACAGGCTTTCTAAATGATTTGTTTTGCATGCTAAAAAGTGTTCCAAAATATATTTCAATAGACAGGGTTTTTTTGGTTTTTTTAATACACGTATTCTACAGACAGGGTTTTTTGTTTGCTTGTTTGTTTTGGGTTTTTTTATACATGTGTTCACAAACATTAATGTTTAGGATATTTTTTAATTCCGTGATTAAATAATTATAAATTCGAAATCACATTCTTAGTGCTCAAAAGTGCCAAGAGTAATTAGATTACTTGCATTCTGGCCACTAGGCACTAGTTATCCTTGCTTTGTAAAGCCATCGTTTAAACTTAAAATGTACAATCAGCATGGCTCCCTTCCTGTCAGCTCCTCATTCATCATGCTATAATAGCATTTCCAAATCTTTGCAAGGAATAGTTAGTCAAACTTGCCCCTAAATGGCTGAGAGACATCTGGCTCCTGATATGCCGTGGGAAAAGATGGTATCTCTATGGAAACCTGAGTTTGATAATTGAAAACATTCTTCTGTTTGCTCAAGCGGTCCTAATAATGACAGGAGAATAATGTGTGCACTGTCAGTAATATGCAAAAACACAGAATGATAAAATCCTAAAAGGGACTGGAGTCTTGGACTAAAAGGGGTTCAGAAAGTCCCCTAGGCCAGTCCCTTTACTTCTATTTGATTTAAACCCCCAAGAAGAACACAATTTTATCTACTTCTATATAAGAGATTTCCAAGGTCGATTTGGCACAAGGGTAATTGAAACAGGGCTATAAACAGAAATACTACCTACTACTATCTCTGCCTCAAAACTATATTACTAAGTAAGCACTTTGGCCATATGTTCAAATATTTCAGAGGAAGATGCTAGATTATTTGCAACTACTAAGCTCTAGAAGGCATAGTCAGCTCTGTGTTTTTTCATTGTCTATCAAAGTTATTCATGGCACTGTTGAAATCAACTAGAGCCAGTGTATACAAATGAGTGAATATATGTTTCAAGCTAGTGTCCCACACAGTCTTTAATGAAACTGTTTTATTATATACCTGGTATCACAGGTAAGCAGAATAACAGTTATTAATACTTTCAAATGGTTAAATAGTTGTATCAAACTTCTAGAGTAAATGATTTCAAAATTATTTTAAAGAAAATAATGAATATCATGCTGTCATTTTTTTAATCAAGAGCACAACCTAAGTATAAAAACTCAGCTTAACTGTAAAGTCAAATTTTACTTTTTTTTATATTTTCAGTATCTATCACAAAGCCTAGGTACTTAATAATTAATGTTAAGAATAAATGAAAATATAATGAATTAACTATCAATAATGGCCTGTCTTTTAATTGGCCCATTTATACAATAATCAGACAACTGTGTTTCTTTATTACCTGGTTTTAAAAGTCTGCATTTGTTAGGGGTATATTCAATGCTTTCTTAATCCTGGTGCTAATAAAGGCTTAAGCCTTTAGAGCTCCCATGTACCAACCCCATGCTGCACTAGCAGAACCTGATTTTGTATGGGCTGTGGAGATAACATCTCTCTCTTTCTCTTTCTCTCCCTTTTTTTCCCCACTCACCCACCCACCCATTTGTTGCTGCCTGCATCTCATTTAACAGGATCCCAAGCAGTGAGGCAAGAAAGGATGTACAGAGATTTCCTGGGGAAGGAGCAGATTGAGGGCTTGCATCTCAGCTCTCTCACTGGATCTGGGACCATTAGTTTCTAAAAGCCTGTACTGTTTTTCTATAAAATGGAGATGAACACTATACTTACCTAGGATTGTTATGAGAATTAATGATATAATGAATTTAAAGCTTGCTTGACTGATAATGTAGTTAACAAATAAGATCTATTCTTACCAAAAAGTTGCTAACAATGTAATTATCTCACAGGAGATCAGTTAAATCAATTACAAACACGAGATAGTACTACATGGAGCCATGCAAAAATCATATTAGAAAAACAGTTAATACCATTAAAAAATGTTCATAATATTTTTATCTATTTCAAAGAATAAATAGCAAAGCACTAAATACACCCTAATGTCAATTTCACTAAGTATGCATTGAAAAAATATTGAAGAGATACACGAATATGTCAACATGAGTTCTAGGAATGGTGGATATATGATTGATTTTAATTTTTTATACTTTCCTATGTTTTCAAAATTTTCTACAAAAAATTTAACCCCCCAAATAAGAATTAATTAGTGACAATTATTATTTCACAAAAAATAATAGGACATGTAAATGTATTAAAAGATAACTAGTAGCTTTTACAATTAGAATGATAAGACTTAACATATAAACATTCCCAAGTGGAAATACACTGACATAACTTTGCATCAAGTTAAGAAGCTATGAATAAATGCCTTCCTAAGACCAAGTTTTGATAGATATATGGAATAGAGTAGGATTTAGTAGATAAAAACAGAATGTGAGAACTTGGACCTAAGTAATAATAACATGTTAGATCTTTATAGTACTTTTCAGTTTAAGAACTTTGACATCTTGTGCTTTAATTTGAGCCCCATAATAACTCCTTGAGACTAGCAGGTATTAAGTTATTCTTACAGATGGCTCTAAAGCAGCGGTTCTCAACCTTCCTAATGCCGCAACCCCTTAATACAGTTCCTTATGTTGTGGTGACCCCCAACCATAAAATTATTTTCGTTGCTACTCTATAAGTGCAATTTTGCTACTGTTATGAATCGTAATGTAAGTATCTTTTT